TAATTCAGATCGAACTTCACTATAGGTAAGTTCGTTTGATCTGTTAATTTTTCACTATTTTGCGTTAATCAGTCTTTTCTCTAAAATCGATCTTTTGTCAAATATGACAATCCCTGTCATTGCTGTAGGTATAGCTGGTGAGCCCGTTTTACAATAGGAAGAAACGGGTGTCCCACTTTTTGTGCTCACGACTGTACATATACGGTACCTCAGAGTGTAGAAGATTAATGAAAAGAGTTTTTTTTTTTCAATCGTGTTCATTAAAGATGAAAAACAAACAGCCTATGATTGGGTTAATCGGATGACCGTTTCAGTAAAGGCCTATTGTTAAAGTGTACTAACACCATTGCTGGCGTCCTCAAATGATCTGTCAGAAAATGTTGTTAAAATACAATTGAATTTAACACTATTTTTCGATGTTTTCGCTTAAGGCAGAAGTAAGCACTTCTAGGATAAATTTAGACCATTTTGGGCTTTTGAATGCAATTTTGAATCAAAAATAGGTCTACGACACATACATCTATGACAGGAAATGTATCACTATTACTCCAAGGTAGGTTGTTTTTGGAGTGAAACTTCTTAGGCATCGTTCTGATATTTGGACAATATGGAGAGTGTATGAGTAGTGTTGAGTGATAAGTGCAAGTAATTGACATGCATTTGACACTAAACATTTGCAGTTAAAAATGTAAACCTGCCTCTAATGCACTTGGACTATGTCAACCCGGATCAACTATTCTTATAACAGAGTTGGGACTCTCTAACTGTAATTGTATCTCTATTGACGTCCCCTCTCTATTAGTTTCTAGAAGAGAGAAGAAGATGGCAACAAGTACCATAGCGACGGGGATAACGATCTACTGTATCCATTACAGAGTCCCAACCCATGGCTGGGATCACGACAAGTAGCATTCAACTACTTTCATGACGTCAGGTTGTCTAGCAACCATCATCATCGCCCGTACTGTACGCGATAAATAGGTGGCGGGTGACGTCATAAAATTAGAATTATTCTACTCGTCGTGATTCTACCAGCCCTGATCTCTTTAACAGGTGCTCGATGAACCCTTGGACTTTTCCAATTGGTTTTAAAATTGAATTTTTGATAATTCCCGACTCTTGATTGGCTTAGAAATTTATTTTTTAAATTTTCCTGGCTCTTGATTGGTTTAGAAATTCAAATTTTGGATATTCTCGGCTCTCGATTGGCTTCCAAATTCAATTTTTGAATTTTCCCGGTTCTTATGATTAGGTTTAAAATTGAATTTTTGATTATTTCTGGTTCTTGATTGGGTTTAATTTTCAATCATTCCTGGCTCTTGATTGGCTTAGAAATTGAATTTTTCAAGATTCCCGGCTCTTGATTAATTTAAAAATTGAATTTTTGATTATTCTCGGCTCTTGATTGGCTCCAATTTTTGAATTTTCTCGGCTCTTGATTGAGTTTAAAATTGAATTTTTGATCATTCCCGTCTCTTAATTGCCTCAAAAATTGATTTTTTCAATTTTTCCGGCTCTTGATTGGCTTGAAACTTTGAATTTTTCCGGCTCTTGATTGGGTTTGAAATTAAATTTTTCATCATTTTTAAATTGTTTAAATATTCAATGTTTGAATTTTCCCGGCTATAGATTGGGTTACAAAGTCAATTTTTGAATATTTCCGACTCTTGATTGGGGTTGAAAATTAATTTTAAAGCCAATCAATAACTAGGATTTAGGAATATTCAAAAATTGAATTTTGAAACGTCAAATCAAGCCTATCAAGAGCGGGGAATTTTTGGAAATTGAAATTTACAGCCAATCGAGAGCCGAGAATTTTCAAAAATTGAATTTTTAAGAATCAGAATCAGAATCGTTTATTGGTGCTTAAAAATACACAGTACAGTGTTTACACAAGTCAAAATAATCAAATACAATTTAGTAATCTAAAATTACAATTTCATTAAAAAATTAGACTAACTATCTATTTCACATGATTTTAAATATCTGCTTTACAAAAATATAAAAGTTATGTTTAAAAATTCCAACAACAATTACAAATTTACTGTCACTCACTAATACAACAATTATCAGGACAAGGACATTTAAGAGGCCAACAACAAGCCGTTAAAAGTTGAGAAAAAGGGTTGATTTCCTGAGACGAGAACTCACTTATTTTGTAATATTTTTTGACCGGATCAGAAAAAAATGAAAGATAAAAGTCTAAAGATTAATGCTGTTGTTTTAGTTTTTTGAAAAAAAAATTTCAAATTGAAAATACCACGACCCAAATACTCGAAAAAAAGCATCGTTTCTATCGCTCGGTATATCCAAGCCCATAGCTCTTTTCAGAAAAATAAAACAAGAGCATTATTCTAAATTTTATTATCTTTCCAAATCTTCTTGATTCATTTAAAAATATTGAGTCGTTTTTGAGATCTCGTCTCAAAACGTAAGCCCTGCAAACACGGAAATTCAAAAATTTTGGCTGCAGCGAGGTGCTGCCTCTGGCGGATTCAATTTCGCACCGGGGTAAGTAAAAATTACACAACGGGAGAGGACTGCGAGTTCAGTTATTAGTTTGTTTATGTGAATTGTGGTGAATATTTTTCATAATGAACTCAAAACGAACAAAGACTACTTCATTAGAGTTCAAGAAACGGAAGAGGACATTATATAACATAATTAAATATAATAGGTAAGTACCTAATAATTATTTGTGTTGTGATAATTATTTATTAAGGTCTTTTGATGTTTATTATGGCGCGCAACCAAAAGATTATTAAATTATGCTTTTTCTGTGAGCCCATCAAGTTGTAAAACTTTATAATAGATAGGTCCGGAAGTCGAATAACAATGCAATTATTATGGTGAAATTGATTGATTGATTTAGGAGGGGGCGTATGGCGTGAATTATTATACAACTTAGATTTAAGGAACTAAGATATTTTACTAATTTGGCGTATAGATTAATTTCAACTTTTTTATTAAATTTTTTATGCGAGTTTTGTAACCGATGGGCTCGCTCTTACAAATATACTTGGAGGCACTCGATAAGTTGCGTCTAACGCCATGTCACCTTGATTTTAATAAGATCAATGTGTAAAAAAGGGAAAGATAGAACGTTAGGAATTATGTGTACGACGGAGAAAAATTGAACGTCAGATCGGACTTAGATTGCCTGTTGAGTAGGTATAGAAAATTACATCCCTCTGCGCTGTGGCTGTAAAACATAAACTTACAATGCAGGCATAGAATATTATAATGAACTAACTAATTTTTAGTAAAAGAAAAAAAAGTGCAGATTCAAGTAACAATGATGATTCCATAATTGCGTTAAGGTAAGTTATAAATTGTGGCATTCTACTTTCAGCTTGCACTTAAAGAAATAATCTGATAACATTTTCAATTTCAAAAGAAATAATATAATAATACTAATTTTCTAGGAGTGCAATGTGTAATGGTGTCAAAGTTCATTTGATATTTCAATAACATTATTTACATTTAAGGTCCACGGAATTTATACAAACCTCTCCGAATTTTCAAGAAATTGAGCATCAGGAAACCCTTGATCATAGGTAATTATTTTTCTGTTAAATTAAAATAAAAAAGGTATGGTTCTTCAATATACCGTTAAAGGCGGTAAAGGCACTTTCCGCATGTGTTAGGTGCAAAATTTTACCTATAAGCATCTACATCTCCAAAAAAAAGCATTAATAAAATTAATTAATGATTCAGATAAATTAATGAAATTAGATTAGATTTAGAAATGATCAAAAATCCATTTTTTCCCCAAACGTCAGAAAAACGTCACTTTATTAACACCTGTCAAGATGTCAGAAATTTGATTTCTATACTGCTAAGCAAATCCAGCGGGTTAACACCTGTCGAGGTGGTAGAAATATAATTTCTATGCTGCTTGACAACCCCAGCGGCAGCAAAAGTACTTTTAGTGCCGCTGGAGAGGCAGTAGAAGTACTCTTAGTGCCGCTCGTACTTTTACTGCCGCGCAGCCATTCAGTTACGCCCGAGCTTACTCCATTCGTTTGGAGAAAAAATAGCCTGTTGCATACGGAGTAGAAGCACTTTTTTGTCTCCAGCAGTATTGCAAGCCTCACTACGTTCGGCTCGCAAACCTACCACTTCAGCACAAAAAAGTGAAGCTTCTACTCCTAATACAACAATATACTATTCTGAAAAAAAAAAAAGATTTTCAATCATAAATACTAAAATCTACTTTACTGCACACTTTGCAGTCCACTTTACCGCATATTATGCGGTAAAGTTGACTTTACCGCACACTATGCTGTAAAATAACTTTATCGCATAGTGTGCGGTAAAGTGCTACTTTCTATTTGCAAAAGGCTGCGGTAAAGTCCACTTTACCGCACGCTCGTAGGTAAAAGATAAAACAAAACAAGTATAGTTATAGTTATACGTCTAGAAATAGTTGATTTTTTAATAGGTACCTATCTTTTTTTAAATACGATATTAGTTCTCCTAGATGTACTACCCCTTTGACAACGAAAATCGACTCACAGAAGGATAACGATAACAGCCATATTGTAAATGGGTAAGAAATTGATAACTGACATAGTATATACTTGAATTATTCGTTGTATCACTTAAATATGTTTTTACAGACCTCCTCTTGACAAGAAAGACTCCTGTCAGCCTTCGAATTGGAGCAATAAAAGGTAATTTCAATATAGGTTTATTCTCGTAACAGGGGAGCAGCGTTCTCATGAAAACGAAGGTTCTGTAGTAGTTGCTCATATTAATATTTCCATAACACTGACTGAAAGACAGAGAAATCGTTCTTGTGAGAACGCTGTTCCCTGTTTACGAGAATAGATACCGGTCCTTAAAAAAGTTGCTATATTGAAAATTTTCCTGATATTTTTTTCTTAATCTTGATCTATTTACTTTTTAGGACGAAACAATATATAATGGAAGGAAATCGAATTATCGACTTAAGATATTTCCTCAATCGTCTCTCAGAAGAATCAAATCACAACAGTATGTTTAGCTGTACCCTAGAAAATTTAGTTTTTGCTAATGAAGTTCAAGAGGGGCTGTTGTCAAAATTTCTAGTAAAATGTAATATGTGTAATTATAGCGCTGAGATTTCATCAGCTGACCCCAAAGACCACAAGATGAATCTTAACAAATGTTTGGTGAACGTAGTTACAAGCATTGGTTGTGGATTCGCTCACCTGCAAGACATTTTAAATAATTTGCAACTCCCGGTACTTTCTCAGCGGAAATATGCTGACATTCAATCAAAACTATTTTATGGCATAGAAGAGAGCGCAATTCAAGAAATGCGCAAAGCAGCCGATGAAGAAAAAGCTATTGCATTATCTGAAAAGAATGTTGGTGTGGATGGAGTGCCGGAAATCCTAGTAGTGTGCGATGGCACATGGCCTAAACGTTCTTATGGGAAAAATTACTCCTCAAAATCTGGAGTTGCCGCCATTATTGGGTATAAAACCAAAAAGGTTCTATACTTAAGTGTAAAAAATAAATATTGCGTAGCGTGTGAAATAAACAAGAAAAAGACTGGCACACCCAAATTACATCGATGTTTCAAAAATTATGATGGTCCATCTACAGGTATGGAGGCTGCAATACTTGTAGAAGGTTTTAAATCTAGTGAGGATATGTACGGTTTACGTTATTCTAAATTTATTGGCGATGGTGATAGTAACGTCCACAAAAAAATTTTAGAATCCTTTCCGTATAGAAAACCTGTAGAAAAAATCGAATGTAGAAATCATCTCATAAGAAATTTTAGGACGAAAATGGAAGACCTATGTGGTAGAACGTCCAACGGTCCTTTACAAATGAGAACTAAAATAAAACAGAATATTTTACGAATGAGAATAGCTATTGTTAAAGCAGTAAAATATCGGAAATCAGAACATGTGCCACATCAAACAAAGTGTGTTAATCTTAGAAAGGATATTTTAAATATTCCGAGTCATACGTTTGGGGAACATCAGAACTGTAAGAGCCTGAGGTATTTTTGTGAGAAGGATAGCCCTTGTCAAGACAATTTAGTGCCTCAGCTGAAAGAAGTTGCATTATACCAAAAACTCCAAACAATATTTGACCATCTTTCCAAATTCAGCAATAGTTTAATTCATGATGTTGACAGCAACTTGGTAGAACAATTTAATAGCGTTATAAGTAAATATATTGGGGGCAAACGTGTTAACTATACCCAGAAGAGACAGTACAAAAGTAGAAGTTACTTGGCAGCACTGACCTATAATACCAAGCTCTCAAGCTACTATAGTTTGCATAAGTTTAACTATGGTAGCAGCCCCTCTTTGATTTTGAATAAAAAATATGAAAAAAGGCGGCAACTACTACACTACAGGCAGAAGCCCAAAAAGAAATTATTTAAAGAGAAAGATCATAAAGAGGCCACTAATACCGACAAAAATTATGGACCAAATTGCGAGAAACCGGACATGACCCTTGAGGAATACCAGGAACGGAAGGAAGAATTTTTGAAAAACATCAAGAAAACAAAAACGGAAATTGAAAACATCGAAGAAAGAACAAGAGAACAGGCTAATTCTACTGAATGGTTAGAAGCAAGAAGAATTATTTTAACTGCTTCCAATTTCGCAACTATTTGTAAGCGGAGGCCAACAACATATTGTGGACCCTTAGTCAAAACACTTCTAACAAATAGCTTTATCCAATCTAGCGCGCTAAGTTGGGGAAGCGATAATGAAGATGGCGTCCGAGACGGACATTGTTCAAGATTGCTCTGACAAAAAGTGTTTTTACTGCTCAAAGAAAGTTAAAGGAAAAGTAAAATGTGTTCTGTGTGATGGTTTTTATCATAGTCAGTGCATTATAAAAAATCCCGGTGTGAAAATTGTGGGTATCAACGAAATAAACTGCACAAATTGCATCAATGAAGAAGATCTGACAGGCTTGACAACTGCCGATATTGTTAAATTGTGTTTTAAAAATAGTGGACTTTTAAACAACATCGTCTTCCAATTACAAGAAAATAACGACCTTCTTAGGGAGAAAATTCATTTACTTGAGGAAAAACTGGAAAAATTTGAGGAAAAATTAGCTAAGCCGAAAATGCTAGAAGAGGTTAGGTTTATCTCCGCAGCCTCCGCCCCCGCAGGAACTTGCCCCAAAAGTCAAACTTCAACAAAATCATCAAATGTCAAAGTCATCATCAGTGACGTCAACACCAAGGAAATATCAAATATCAAGGCACCGGTTCCATGCGTCGTCACAAGTGGTACTGCAATTATGGTAGCAGATGCCAAAAATGATGCTGCAGAACCTGACATTGAATACCGAAGAAAAGCCAACATAACCACAAACAATAAACGTCAAAATGGCAATCCTCGTAATAATGTATACACTGGGATTGGGAACCAAAACAAAAAAAATGAAAAGCGGAATCAAATAACTCTTGCTCAAGTAAACAAAGCAGTTGATTTAGCCATCAAACCCATCGAGAATGATAAGCAAAAACATAATGGCGAACTACAAAAATCAAATTCTGCTGAAACTACTCCAACTTCAACTGGGCAATCAGAAGAAAATTGGAAGCTTGTTAGCTACAAAACAAAACATAAAAATATAATGCTGCAACATAATCGTCCTGATCCAGTAAGAGGAACAAATGAAAAACAAAATGGTCTACAGGTAGCTGAAAAAAGGTATTGGATATTTTTGTCTGGGTTTTCAACTTCAATGGAAGTAAATAATATCAAGGATTTCCTTAATAGTCAACAACTGGGAAACGATCTATATTGCGAAAAAATGCACACAAAAAAGGACGGACAAATGAGTTCTTTTAAACTGGGTGTGCCCCAATGCAATAAAAACAAAATAATGGATCCGGAACTTTGGCCAGTTGGTATCTGCATCAACCATTTTCTGAGTCTACAACGCCATCAGATACCGAAAAACAATCTAAGAGGTTAGATAGCCAAAACAAGAAGGTAGAGCATGTAATTTTTCACCAAAATATGCAATGCCTAAAAAATAAAATCCTTGAACTTGAAGCAGTATTAGAGGAAATGAATCAACAACCCACCTTTGTTGCGGTAACCGAACATTGGTTTACGGAGATGGAAGTCCAGTGTATGAACATAAATGGGTATAAGCAAACATCCGCTTTTGCAAGGAAAGCAACGACACATGGAGGTTCTGCGATTTTTGTACATTCCAATAATGAAGCAACAGAAGAAACCGAAATTACGGCAAAAAGTGTAGAAGGAGTCCTGGAATGCTCATCGATCGTAAGTGGGTCCGCTGAAGTAGTGGTTATTGCTATCTATAGGCCCCCGCAGGGTGATATTGATCTCTTCTTTCAAATTCTTACAGATATTCTTGCTATTTGTCAGTTGAAATTTTCAAGTCACAAAACTATACTCACAGGTGACTTCAATATTGATTTGCTGGATCAGTCCTTCAGGTCAAAGAAATTTAAAGACCTCTTAACAAGTTTTAATTTTAATCAAACTGTATTTGAGCCAACAAGAATAACAAATACATCCAAATCACTTTTAGATAATATTTTCATCAATTTTATAAACCCATTTCAAGCAGAGGTTGTAGCAACTGCTCTATCTGATCACGAGGCTCAAACTCTGAGGGTCGTGAATGCGGTCGCCCCAGAGTGCAACTTCATGCCCTTCAAAAAGCGCTCTTTTTCAGATGGTAGATTGTCTCACTTTAAGCTTGAATTGCAGAGGGTGGATTGGTTTGAAGTGTATTCTCAACAACAGGTAAATACTGCATACCATGTTTTTAGCAGTATTTTGGCTCAATACCTCAACCTGATATTTCCTGAGAAAACCATTAAAGCCAAACCAAAAAAACCCAAGTACTGGATGACTTGTGGGATTAAAATTTCTTTAAAAAACAAACGAAATTTGTACAAAGAAATGATAAGGGGTAGTATCACAAAACATTTTTTTAAAAAATATTCAAATATCTTAAGATCAGTTATAAGAGAATCTAAAAAAAGAGAAAATATAAACTTTATACAAACTTCAAAAAACCCAGGAAGAGCAATATGGACATTGATTAACTGGGTACAGGGAAACGGGGAAAAAAGAAAAGAATCGTTGCTTGAAAACTATTCCAAGAAATACCCAAACAAAGAAAAGAATGTTATACTAAATGAAATAAATGATTTCTATATAAACCTATGTCCTGACCTCAATACAAATATAGATGGCATCTCAAAAAATATACCTTTTTACCCAAAAAATTTATTTTTAAAACCTACAAATGCTAATGAGATCAAGCATGTCATATCCAAATTAAAAAATAAAAAAGCAGTAGGGCAAGATCAAATCCCAGTCATTTTAATCAAAAAAGTGGCAGATGAAATTGCTGAACCACTGTCTCATGTAATTAATTTAATGCTTGTCACAGGAGTATTTCCAGATAAACTGAAAATAGCCCAAATTATTCCAATTTATAAGAAAGGAGACGCTCAGGAAATAAAAATTTTTCGACCAATTGCACTCTTGAATAACTTTAGCAAGATATTTGAGAGGATAATATATGATCGCGTTATTTCGTTTTTTGAGAGTGAGCAGTTGCTCTCAACATATCAGAATGGATTTAGGAGGAAAAAAAGTACCACCAGAGCTATTTATCAGGCACTAACTAAAATCTTGGAGTCCCTTAATGGGAGAAACGAGACAGTGGCGATGTATTTGGATTTGTCTAAAGCTTTTGACAGTGTTAATCATGATGTGCTGCTAGCAAAACTAGAAAGGTATGGATTGAGGGGCGTTCCTTTACAACTAATATCATCTTATCTATTTGATAGAAAGCAGCAGATTATTGAAAGACACAATGGGGAAACATTAACATCAATTTCTAGCCAGGTCAAAAAAGGTGTACCTCAGGGATCAATCCTTGGACCACTGCTGTACATTATCTATACTAACGAGCTTGCAAATATAACTGATCAGTTTACGGTCCAGTTTGCGGATGACACTTCAGTAGTCTTTTCGGCAGAACGAATGGAGGAATTGAGTAACAAAATTCACACAACTTTGAGTTCCTTTCAGGGTTGGTTTGACTCAAATAACCTGGTTTTGAATGTCGAGAAGACACAGCTACTACGTTTCTCATATCAACGGGATTGGTCTCCCACTCAGTTTGTTTGCGGTGATGGTATACCTTTGAACACTACAAGATCGGCCAATTTCCTGGGGGTCAAAGTGGATTCACGGTTGGACTGGAGTGACCATATTGACTGCCTGGCTGGCCAAATATCAAGGCACTGCTATGCCCTGAGGGTGCTGGCACGTGAGGTAAATTATGAGGTTGCATTAACTGCTTACCATGCTTACATTCAATCAAGATTGAGGTATGGAGTTGTATTCTGGGGTAATAGTCCCGAAGTCTCTCGAGTTTTTATTGCACAAAAAAGATGTATAAGAGCAATATTTGCTATGTACCAGACAGATAGCTGCAAACCCATATTTAGGGCTCACAACATATTAACATTACCAAGTCAATATATCCTGGAAGCAGCATTGTTTGTTAAGCAAAATCCTGACCTTTTTCTTGAGCACATTAGGGGGCATTGCTATGATACAAGGGGAAGGACTGATCTTGTCAATGTGAGAAGCAATTTTACTTACATACAAAAAAACGTTCAATTTTCAATTATAAAAATTTTCAACAAGCTACCTTCAAATTGGCAAAGCTTGCAATTCGATAACCTTAAACATAAGTTGAAAAACCACTTACTTCAGAGGGCTTACTACTCGGTGGAGGAATTGTATGAGGACAATTTGAACAACGAAAATTGAAATGAGGTTCAAACCAATATATGTATTCTGATGCTCAGTATTGTATTTTATAGTGTATTTTCATGTTGTATTTTATTTTATATTGTATTTTTATATTCTTATATTTTATATTTTAATGTGTAGCATTGTATAAATGTTGTTTTTTTTTTTTTTTTTAAATGTGCTCGTGACTTAACTTATTTATGATTTTAAACTCAAAACAGTCAATTCAATTTATATTTGGCTTGTAATGTTAGATTAGGGTATTTTTAAATTGACACGTTCTATGTCCGAAAGGGCTTTTGTGATAATTTTCTTTGTATTTACAATTATGGAACAAATAAATGCTATGCTATGCTATGAAGGAAAAGCTTTTGAGGAATTGATGAACAAACAAAAACTGATTATAAAAAAATGTGGATTATTTATCAGTGAAAAACACTCATTCTTTTTTTACAGGGACAGCTAGCTGTCACTGATAGAGCCTATTGTGTATTGTGCGTCTGGACTCCTTTGGGTATGAAGTGTGAAACAATTTTAAAAGATGATGATTTTTGGAAAGAAAATATGTTTCCGTTTTTGGAAAAATTTTATTTTTACTGTTATTTACCAGAGCTTGTAGATAGCCGATTAGCAAGAAATATGCCTATAAGAGAACCGGACTATATTGTTGAAGCGAATGAAAAGAAAAAAACAAGCATGACCAAAATCACTAAAAAACAGTCAAAACAAAAATAATCATATATTATAATATCACAAGAGCTTTAAATTTAATCGATTAAACTAAATTATCCAAAATATTTTAAGCATAATTTTGCTTGGAAAATAGTGAATGAGTGCACAATAACTATAATATAAGTTTGAGAGTAAATTTTTAAGGCATGCATGTTAAAGATTGTAGAATAAGCGAAGCGAATTCTGCAATTCACATAAGGCACTAGTTAAAGACTAGTGCGATAAAGTTACAGTTTTAAAGCTACGGGAGGGTGTTAAAAATTGCATTTTTAATACGTTTGTAGAAAAAATTTATTGTGCATGAAACTATATTTGCCATAAAGCAAAATCATGCAAAAAATATTTGGATAGTTTAATCCAGTCAAAGGACCCGGCAATATTTAAATGGAAATTGGTTACCCGTGATATTTCGATGAAATTTAAATATGTTGTTGGGGATGCCGTAAGCACCATTTTTTACCATGGGCACAACCCTGTATATATGACAGGTGAGGCGTGGTTAACTGTCAAATATTGGAAACTTATATCCAAAAGCAGAGTGACTATGGCAGATTTTGATGAACGAAGTATCGATGTCTACTAAGTCGACCATGTTAAGTCGAAAAATGTCAACGATTTTGAAACCTGTCAAAACCCTGCCAAACAGCAGCACTCATCTTGTCCCGTTTTCAATATTTCATGATGTCATTTGACATTTTAAACTTGTATGTGAATTCTGAATTCAAAAATTGGAAAAAAAAATGACAGAACTGTCAAAACCTGTCATTTGTTTTAGTAGAAAAAAATACTCTTATCTAGTTCTTTTTTGTTTCAAGGTTGTTTATTAGTGATAAAACATTAAACAAAGTTCATGCATGTCACATTTTGACTCTGACAGTTGTCAAAATGTGACATACCCAAACTTTGTTTAATATTTCA